AAGCCTCTGTGCTTAGCTTAGATGGGGCAGAGTTTCAGGGTGGAGCCTACAGCCTTGGCTTCCTGTCAACCCCACCCTATGAGGTTCCTGAGTCTCAGTGTTCCTCAGTGTCCTTTAGTACTTGCTGCAAGCACCTCTGAGAGAAAGGTGCCCTCAAGTTTCGCCTGCTACCAGACAGTCTAGTCTCTCCCCCAATGAGCCAGGAACTGGAGTTCAGTGCAGTTGGAAGTGGGGTTGGAAATGGGGTTGGAAGTGGGGGTCAGAGCAGTCTGGAGCTTTTGTCTCCTTCCAGCTAGGGCAATCCAGCGGCACAGTCAACAGTCAGTCCTATGCACACATTCACGTGCACGCCTCTAGAGCTCTGCCTTTTGCCACTCCCCTGAGTTTCCACCTTACAGCCTAGATTCCCTCTTTTGAGCCTGGGTCCCCAGGATCTCGCCCAGAACTGGGGTTCAGTGCAGTCGGAACTGGGGTTCAGCACAGTCCAGAGCTTTTATCTCCTTCCTGCTAGGGAATGCCAGCTAGGCTCTCAACCGCTCCCTCCTCTTAGAATCTGTCTTCTCCCCATGTGCGCACCGTGTCTCGGTACCTTAGGCTTTTACAGCTCCTCTGATTTTCCTTCTGGTTTTCTCTTTCCTTCTAGTTGTAGAATTTCAAGTCAGTCAACTTTCCTGTAGTTTTGGATAATGTCCATTGTGTATTTTAGTTGTATTTTTTGAAATTGTTGTGTGAGGCTGCAGTTAGGTGTTTACCTATGCCGCCATCTTGGTTTCCGAGTCTAACTTATAACTTGATATAAGATCAGTGTCAAAATTGGGGTTGCATTAAATTTATATATTACATTACAGAGAGTTATCATCTTGAGATGGTGTTGAGATGTTGTAACCAAGAACAAAGGAGGCCATTTCATTTGCTCAAGTCTACTCATTCCATTTTTAGAAATGTAGAAATCTACTGCCCTGGCTGAGGAGAGGGTCCTATACTCCATTATATTAATCTATCAACCTGCCTTTCTTGAGTATCTGCTATGTTGTAGATATCTTTTTATTTTTATTGTTTTAGTGTTTTATGTGATTCTATTTAAATTGTTATCTGTACATCTTGTTTCATTATTTGAAAATTTTTTACCTTGGTACAATTAGCTAAACAGATATAGCATTTCATTCTACTACTTTTGGGGTGTCTACAGTTATCAGTTTTAACCTATCAAGGGTTAATATTGTGTTTGGGTATTTATTGTGAAGTATGAATTGATATCTAATTCATAAAACTAACATTCCAACAATACTTATTAAATTATGATTCATCTCTCCACATTCTTATTCCTCTTAATACTTCATAGATTACACTTAAAAATATATATGTTATTGATTTTTTACAGAGAGGAAGGGAGAGGGATAGAGAGTGAGAAACATCCATGAGAGAGAAACACCAGCTTCCTTCTGCACATATCCCACTGGGATGTGCTCGCAACCAAGGTACATGCCCTTGACCAACCAGAATTGAACCCAGGACCTTTCAGTCTGCAGACTGATGCTCTATCCACTCAGTCAAACCGGTTAGGGCAGATTACACTTTTTGATAAGTTAAATATTATTTCTGGAATTTTTATTGTACTCTTATCTATTCTTAATTTGGAACTATTTAGTTTTGTACTTATTGTTTAAAATGCATTTTTAAAAGACTATTTTTAGAGCAGTTTTAGATTCACAGCAAAGTTGATCAGAGGACACAGAGAGTTCCCATATACCCACTTTATTTATTTATTTATTATTTTTAAAAATATGTTTTCATTTATTTTTAGAGAAAGAGGGAAGAAGAGAGATAGAGAAAGAAACACCAATGAGAGAGAAACATCATCAATTTGTTGCCTTCTGCAGACCCCTTAAAGGGGATTGAGCCTGAAACCTGGGCCTGTGCACTGATCTGGAATGGAATCAGGGACCTCTTGATTCATGCGCCAATGTTTACCATTGAGCCACACTGGCTGAGCCCACGTAAAATTTTTATTTTTTAATTTTTTTTCAGAGAGGAAGGGAGAGGGAGAGAGAGAGAAACATCAATGATGAGAGAGAATCATTGATCGACTTCCTCCTGCATGCCACACACTAGAGACTGAGTCTGTAACTCGGGCATGTTTCCTGACCAGAATCAAACTGTGACCTGCTGGTTCATAGGTTGATGCTCATGCACTGAGTCATGCTGGCCAGTTAGGCCCACATTTATTTTTTAGGGCAGTTTTAAGTTCACAGTAAAATTGTCCACGATGAAAAATGGAAGTCCCCTGTTCTCCCTATAATGTCTATAAATATCTGTTCATCCTCCATCTTCTTAGTGAACAGGCAGTGTTTTATTTTAACATTAAAAATATTTTTATTGATTTTAGAAAGGGAGAGGGAGAGAAACATTAATGATAAAAGAGAATCATTGGGTGCTCGTGGTGGTGGCAGCAGGCACACTCTCAACATGCAGAACGACGCTGTGAGTTTGTGGACCTGTATGTGCCGCTGAAATGTTCCACCAGCAACCACATCATCGGTTCCAAGAACCACACGTCCATTCAGATGAACTTGGCTGAGGTTGAGTAGGTGATAGGCAGGTTCAATGGCCAGATTAAAACCTATGCTATCTGTGGGGCTATCCGCAGGATGGGTGAGTCAGATGACTCCATTCTCTGAATGGCCAAGGCCGATGGCATTGTCTCAAAGAACTTCTGACTGAACTGACTGAAGAGCTGAACTGACTAAAATTTGCCATAAATAAATATTGGAAACATAAAAGAGAAAGAGAGAGAGAGAGAGAGAGAGAGAGAGAGAGAGAGAGAGAGAGAGAGAGAGAGAATGAATCATTGATCAGCTGCCTCTTGCATACCCTGCTGTGGGGATGGAGCCTGCAACTCAGGAATCAAACTGTAACCTCCTGGTTCATAGGTTGAAGCTCAACCACTGAACTACACTAACTGGACAATACCAACTTAAAAAAAATCTTTATTGTTCAGATTATTACAGAGTTTCCTCTTTTTCCCCCCATAGCTCCCCTCCATCAGGTTCCTACCCCACTCTCTGCCCTTATCCCATCTCCACTGTCCTCATTCATAGGTATAAGATCTTTGTCCAATCTCTTCCCACACCCCTCAGACTCCCTTCCCCCTGAGAATTGTCAGTCTCCTCCCTTTCTATATTCCTGATTCCATTATATTCACCAGTTTATTCTGTTCATCATATTTTTTATTCATTTGATTTTTATACTCTCTTGTTGATATGTATTTCTTGTCAGTTTGTTGTTCATAATTTTTATCTTTTACCTTTTTCTTCTTCTTCCTCTTCTTAAAGATACCCTTCAGCATTTCATATAATACTGGTTTGGTGGTGATGAACTCCTTTAGCTTTTCCTTTATCTGACCTGCAATTCTAAATAATAGCTTTGATCGTAGGTTCTTGTTATTCATCACTTTAAATATTTCTTTTCACTCTGGCTTGCATAGTTTCCGTTGAGAAATAAGCTGACAATTGTATGGGTACTCCCTTGGAGGCAACTAACTGTTTCTCTCTTGCTGCTTTTAAGATTCTCTCTTTGTCTTTTGCCCTTGGGATTTTAATTATGATGTATCTTGGTGTGGTCCTCTTTGGACTCCTTGTTTGGGGTTCTCTGTGCTTCCTGGACTTGTATGTGTATTTCTTTCACCAGGTGGGGGAAGTTTTCTGTCATTATTTATGCAAATAGATTTTTAATATCTTGCTCTCTCTCTTCTTCTAGCACTCCCATAATTCAGATGTTGGTACACTTGAAGTTGTCCTATAGGCTCCTTATACTATCTCCATGTTTTTGGATTCATTTTTCTTTTTGCTTTTCCAGTTGGATGTTTTTTGCTTCTTTGTATTTCAAATTTTGACTTGATTAGGGATCCTCTAATCTACTGTTGAATCTCTGTATATTATTCTTTATTTCAGTCAGTGTATGCTTAATTTCTGACTGGTCCTTTTCCTTTTTCTTGGCATTTTCACTAAGATCCTTGAAGGTCTCACTAAGTTCCTCAGAGGTTTCTAGAAGATTCTTGAGTAATCTTATAACTGTGGTTTTGAACTCTATATCCAGTAGCTAGCTTTCTTCCATTTCTTTCATTTGTGACATGTTTTTTTTTTTTTTTTTTTGTTTGTTTTTTTGTCTCTGCATTTTGGCTGCTCCTCTATGTTTGTTTCTATGTATAGGATAGGTGCTAAGTCTCCTTGAGTTGATAGAGTGGCCTTGTGTGGAAGGTGTCATCTAAGGCCCAGTAGCTTGGCCTCCCCAATAATCTGAGTGGACACTCTTGGTGCACCCCTTTGTGGGCTGTGTGCACAGTCTTGGTGTAGTTGAGCCTTGATTGGGCTCAGTGGGAGGAATTGACTGCTAGGCCAATTGGCTGTGAGGACCAGCTGTGTCTACAATGGAAGAGCTACTGTGTAGGAGATACCCTTATGGGATAGGACTTGCTTCAGTGGGGTTTTGGTGCTCACTGAGTCTTCCCCTTGAGTATGTCACTTATGGATGTGAAGAGTTGCAATCTGGTATGGTAATCATACTGACCACTGGGTACACTGGGTTTTGGATCTCCAAGGAGGTGCAAAGTCAGCTACTGGGGGGGTCCACCCAGCAGTAGCTACAGAAAGATCTGCAGATTCCTCCTCTCTGTATTGGGTTAGGAAGTGTCCAGATGAGGCCCAGCTGCAAAGCAAGGCAGGCAGCTGCTGCCAGCCTTGGGCCTTCTTTTGATAGCTTTGGGGTTCCTTGACCCAGCTGCTGCCTATTTGACAGGTTTGCTGCCTATTGAAAGGACAGGCCATTCATATGCAAAAGCTGCTGTGCATAGCGTGGGTGGGGTTGTAAATTGGGTGGTGTGGGATCTCGAAATCATCAAGGCAGAGCAAACAGTAAGGGCTGCCAGTCAACTCTGCACTGGGGAGATCCCAGGGCAGAAACAATGACCCCTGCAAGCACCTCTGAGAGAAAGCTGCCCTTGTCTTCCTGTTCCTATGCCAGACAGTCCAGTTTCACCCTGTATGTGTCCGGGTCCCCCAGAGTCTTGCCCGGAACTGGAGTTCAGAGCAAGAGGGAGCTTGTATCTTCCTCCTGATTAAAAAAGCAGTGCACCTGGGTGCCAGCCCATTCCTCGTCTCCACCTCAGTGCCTCCTACTAGTCTTAATGCGCTTTCTTCACCTGTCTGGTTGTAGTACTTCCACTCAACCAGATTTCCTGTGGTTCTGGACGATAGTTGTTCTGTCTTTTAGTTGTAATTTTGATGTTGTTGTGAGAGGCAGCAAGTACAGTTGTTTACTGATGCTGCCTTCTTGGTTCTCCAATCTAGGCAGCACTTTTTGCACTTTGCTTAGCTTTGTAGATTGCCCTTTCATCATGCAGAAATAGGAACTCCTTTCTTTTCGGTAACAAGTTGTAGCTGTATTATTTAGGTCAGTGGATGAACACCATCATTTACTGTCATATCTGTTACTTTCATTTTCCTGTGATTGGGTGAGTATAAATCTGTCTTTACAAAGACTAATATTTAACTTCACATGATCATTTAGCTGAAGAGTCGCTATTTTTTTTTTAATAAGGCAATGAGTGAAATCTATTTTTAAAAAGTATTTAAAAACATCAGCAAGTAATATAAAGAACAGGGCCTTTCAAATCTCAAACCAGATATAAAAACTAACATTTTAAGTGTTTTTGTCTCCCTAAAAATTGCTGAGTTGGAAGTCCTCAGTATAAAAGTAATCCTTTTCAGAAGAATGAGTAAAGTGATGAAATGGAAGTTGATGAAACAGATGAATTTTAAAAAGACCCTTTGCAAGCCTCCCTGCTGGTTCCATTTTATAATATCCAAGATGCCGTGACTGAGAATGGGCTACCCTTGCTTTCGGAGTTTATTTGTGGCCTGTGAGAAGCCAATGGTGACTTCAGGGTGGAAATAATATCTGATACTAAAGTTGCTGTTGTCACTTTTCTCAAAAATACTGGTAAGACAGACAATGGCTTTTAACCCTTCTTTGAAAATTGTGGTTGTATTCTATTTTGAGGTTACAGGCATCCCCCAATGGGTCTTTAAAAGTTGTGCGCTAACTCCCAGTGAGAGAACTACAAGGGAATATATAATATTATTTCTGGTACTTCTAATAGCAAACATTTATCAAGTGCTTAGTCTATGCTAAGCATTAAGTTAAGTTTCTATGTACTTTATCTCATAACATATAGCACTATGAGATAGATACTACTATTATTGTCCTCATTGTAAAGTGAAGAAATCTGGGATTAGAGAGGATTAAATGACTTGTTCACAGTCATGCAGCTAGGAAGTATTTGAATAAAAATTTCAAATTAGACATTCTGACATCTGAGTGTATTGTCTTAAACACTGTGCATGTACCTTCAACTTTCCAGTGAGTTTTAATAGTTACAGGATATTATCTTTATGAGAATTACACATGCAAATAGAGATGGAAATGTGGTGAAATTAGTAGAGGGGACCAAGAGAAATTAGGTCTAGGAAACAATATTGTATTACAGTCATTATTACTGTTATCAGCTTACAATGTGACTGCATATACTTGATTTCACTTGAAAAGGTAACTGCTGATCCATGTTTTTATAATAATCTCAAATGGAGTTCACTGTTAATGTTGGCTGTGCATTCAGGGTAGGCAATGTGGGATAAGTAGAAGTTGACACTGAAATTTAACTTTACATAGAATTTAGTCATGGCTTTTAAATAAAATTACTTTTAAAAAATCTGTTTTCTTCTAATATGAAATGAAATTACAGTACCAACTGATTTTTATTTGTAGATGGCTGGACATTTGTTAATGTTTGTGACAGACACCATAGAGCTCAGCAACTTCAGATTTTCCCAAGACTTATGGAATGTGCAAGACCCATTAAGGGTTGAAAATCTGCCACCTTGTGTTGATAATAATTACATAACAACTTTCTTTGATAACCAATCCTCCAAATGGAGAAAGAGCGACCAATGTTCAATATTTACCAGAGGAGAGTTCAGCCTTGGTTGAGTTTTCTGACTACAAAGGTAATAAATTTCTCTTCTTTGTTTACAGTTATTATTAACCATTTCATGCACAAATGAAATCAGACTAAGGGCCATATAGGTGACTGGGAAATACATCAAAGCTACCACATACCTACTGAAATATGTTATGAATTAACTCAAGGCTCTGTGGTGATCTAGGCAAAATAATTTTATTTTAATTTAAATTATTTTTGAGTGTGTGCAGTAGCACAAAAAACTTCCTTTGGCCCTTCTTTTTCTACCCTGTTTCCCCGAAAATAAGACGGTGTGTTATATTACTTTTTGCTCCCAAAGATGTGCTAGGTCTTATTTTCAGGGAATGTCTTATTTTTCCATGAAGAAGAATACAGTACACATTTATTGTTAAATGAAAATAAAGGAAATTTATTACCTGTATAGGGTACGGTAGTACGGTAGTTGTCAACACAAACCAGACAAACTGTGAATCCTACAGTATCAAGAATTTATTCATTTATTCAATGACAATCATATCATCTTCTGGAACATCATCTTAATAATTCAATTCCTGAATTTCTTGGTGAATTTCTTGTGACTCCATTTCTTTCAGAATCAGTGGACCAAATCTCTCATGTTTAGCCTAGGGGGACCTTATTTTCAGGGGATGCCTTATATTTCACTCAGAAGGAAACCTGTAAGTAGGCCTTATTTCAGAGGATGTCTTATTTTGGGGGAAACACGGTATAACTTCATTTCTTTGCTTCCCTTTACAGCAAAATTTCTCAATTGAGTTTGTAATTACCCACACCCATTTTCTCTCATGTCACTCTTTTCATTTGTTTTGATGAATATTATTCTTTATTTTTTATTACAGTTTACATTCAATATTATTTTTTATTAGTTTCAGGTGTACAGCACAATGGTCAGACAATCATACACTTCACCAAGTGCTCTCTCCACCCCCTGATATTTCCAGTACCCACCTATCACCATACATAGTTATTACAGTATTATTAACTATATTCCTAATACTTCACATTCCCGTGACTATTCTGTAATTACCCAGTCCTCCAACCCTTTACCCTTGGGCAAACATCAGTCTGTTCTCTGTATCTATGAATCTCTTTCAATTTTGTTTGTTTATTTTGTTCTTTAGATTTCACACATAAGTAAAATCATATGGTATTTTTCTTTCTCTAATTGACTTATTTCACTTAGCATAATATTCTCTGGGTCCAACCATGCTGTTGCAAATGATAAGATTTATTTATTTTTTTAATTTTTTTTATGGCTGAGGAACATTCCATTGTATATATGTATCACAGCTTTATTATCCATTCATTTATTGATGGGAACTTGGGTTGCTTCCATATCGTGGCTATCTATATATATAAAGAGGTAATATTCAAAATGAGGTCAGGACTCTGTAACGGTCACGACCAGCTCAGGAGGAGGGGCTTGGGGCAGCCCCGAGCCTAAGAGAACAACACGCAGGCACAGCCTGGAGTCTAATAGATCAACATAGAAGAGGGCCTGCTCCGAGCCTCTGCACTGCAGCTGAGGACAGGCTCCCAGCGGACACACACACACACACACACACACACACACACACACGGCGCCTGCTTTGAGCCTCTGCGGCCATCAGAAGGGCATCCTCTGAAGGCTCCCAAACTGTGAGAGGGGACAGGACTGTGAGGGACTCCACCCACCCACCAGTGCTCAAATTTTATGCACTGGGCCTCTAGACCAGCATTTTTCAACCGCTGTTCCGCAGCACACTAGTGTGCCGTGAGATGTTGCCTGGTGTGCCGTAGGTGCAGACAAGACAAGAATTTTATAATTTTTCACTATTTTGTTTACTTAATATTTCATAATAAAGTAATTATAAAATACTTTCTTTGTGTTTATTTGATTCCTATTCAAGAGAATTACTTTATATATAGTCAATATAGGCACAGAGTTAAATTTTTTAACATTTTCTAATGGTGGTGTGCCTCGTGATTTTTTTCATGAAACAAGTGTGCCTTTGCCCAAAAAAGGTTGAAAAACACTGCTCTAGACTATAATAATCCTATCTAATAAAAGAGTGATATGCAAATTGGCCATCACTCTAACACACAAGATGGCTGCCCCCATGTGGACACAAGATGGCCACCACAGGATGGCCAGCAGGGGGTGGCAGTTAGGGGGTGACCAGGCCAGCAGGGGAGGGCAGTTGGGAGCAACTGGGCTGGCAGGAGAGCAGTTAGGCATCAATCAGGCTGGCAGGGGAGTGGTAAGGAGGTGATCAGGCTGGCAGGCAGAATCAATTAGGGGCAATCAGCCAGGCAGCCAGGCAGGCAAACGGTTGGGAACCATCAGTCCTGGATTGTAAGAGGAATGTGTGACTGCCTGTTTAAATGGGCAATCGGACATCTTTCAAGGGGTCCCAGATTGGAGAGGGTGCAGGCTGGGCTGGGGGACACCCCTCTCCTCCCCGCCCCACCCCCATGCACGAATTTTATGCACTGGACCTCTAGTTTATAATAATAAAAGCATCATATGCTAATTAGACTGAATAGCTGAACGACCTTCCGGACATTCTTCTAGATGATCTCTGGATGAAGCCAAGGCTTTGAGGGTTGAGCCCCTTGTACAAATTTTGTGCATTGGGCCTCTAGTCTATATATATAAAAGCCTAAGCAACTGTCTGACCATCTGACCATCTGCCTGGTAGCTATAATGTGTAATGATCACCAGGGGGCCGAACTTTAGTGACTTTGCAGCTGTAGTTCTCAGATGACACACCTTGAGCCAGAGGGGAGGGAGCCTGATTCCAGGGGGTATCACCTGAGAACCATCCTCTCACAACCCAGGACCCCTTGGGGGATGTTGGAGAGCTGGTTGGCCCAATCCCCACAGGCCAGGCTGAGGGACCCCACTGGTGCAAAAATTCATGCACTGGGCTTCTAGTTGTAAATAATGCTGCAATGAACATAGGGGTGCATATTTTTTTTTGAATTAATGTTTTGGATTTCTTTGACTATGTACTTAGAAGGGGAATCACTGGTTCACAAGGCAGTTTCATTTTTAACTTCCTGAGGACCCTCCACAGTGTTTTCTTTAGTGGCTGCACCAATCTGTATTCCCACCAGCAGTGTACTGGGGTTCCCTTTTTCCCACATCCTCACCAATGCTTGTTTGTTGACTTATTGATGACTAGAGGCCTGGTGCATGAAATTTGTGTATGTGGGGCAGGGTCCCTCAGCCAGCCTGCACTCTCTCTAATCCAGAACCCCTCAGGGGATTTCCAACTGCCACTTTAAGCCCAATACTACATTGAGCCTAACTGGCAGTTGGACATCCCTCTTGCAATCTGGAACCGCTGGCTCCTAATCACTCACCTGCCTGCCTGATTGCCCCTAACTTCTCTGCCTGCCTGCTTGCCTGATCACCCCTAACCACCTCTGCCTGCCATCCTGATGCCCCTACCTGTTCCCCTTCCTGCCTGATCACACCTAACTGCCTCTGCCTGCCTGATCACCTCTAACCACCTCTGCCTGCCTGCCTGATTGCCCCTAACTGCTCTCTCCTGCCAACCTGATTGCCCCTAAGTGCTCTCCCCTGCTGACCTGATTGCCGCTAACTGCCTCTGTCTGAGCCCCCACCACTGTGGCTTTGTCCAGAAGGACATCTGGAAGATGTCCAGTCTATCTGGTCTAATTAGCATATTACCCTTTTATTTGTATAGATAGCCATTCTGACAGGTGTGATTTATTATTTTTTTTTTATTTTTTTAATTTGCATTTCTCCGATTATTAGTGACCTTGAGTATCTTTTCTCATTCTTTCTTAAATTAATTCAAGAGAGGCTTTTACTTCTTTCATTCCACCCAAACTGCTCTTGTTGTGGTCACCAATGACCACCAGGTTGCTAAAACTCATTAGCCATTTTTCAGTCTTCATTTTACTTGATCTCTTAGTACTTGGGACTTTTTGGTTTAGGACAGTGGTCGGCAAACCGTGGCTCGTGAGCCACATGCGGCTCTTTGGCCCCTTGAGTGTGGCTCTTCCATAAAATACCACGGCCTGGGTGAGTCTATTTTGAAGAAGTGGCATTAGAAGAAGTTTAAGTTTAAAAAATTTAGCTCTCAAAAGGAATTTCAATCATTGTACTGTTGATATTTGGCTCTGTTGACTAATGAGTTTGCTGGCCACTGTTTTAGTAGTATTTGACTTAATCACCCTCTCCTCCTGGATGCACTTTCTTTACTTGTTGTTAGGACAACACACCTTGGTTGTTATTATTCTTACCCCAATAGCTGCTCATTCTCTTTATTCATGCATTCACCTTCTTTTCTATAGTTCTTATTATAGGATTCAGTGCTCTTCTCCCTTTTGTCTATACATAGTTTTATTGAGGCCTAATGGCTGTAAATACTACCTATTTATATGTAATGTGACCATGATTCCCAATTTATATTTCACCAACACTAAAGAACTCAAATGTCCACATTCATTGCCTAGGCAATGCCTTCACTTGGTTGCTTAAAAGCATATGATGCAACTGTTACTTGTCCAAAACAAAACTCCCAACCTTGTCACCCCACCCCACCCCACCAACCTGCATTATCCACAGGCTTTCTCATCTCAGTTGAAAGCAACTTCATTCTCCTAGTTGTTAAGGCCAAAACCTGGAAGTCAAGCTGACTACTTTCTTTCTCTCATAGCCCATAGCCAGTCTGTTATGAAATTCTGTTCACTCCACCTTCAAGATGTATTCAGAATCTGATCACTTCTCAAAGAGCACATTAAGAATTTGGAAAATTGAATGAATCATTTTAAATGCAGTAACAATCTCCTGAAGTACAATACTTATGCCACAAAGTAGTTTATATTTTGGGTAATATGACCAAATATGTACCATTTAAAATTATTTTATTTTTATTTATTTCAGAGAGTAAGGGAGAGGGAAAAAGAGGTAGAAACATCAATGACGAGAAAGAATCATTGATCAACTGCCTCCTGCATGCTCCACACTGACCTCAGTTTTCCCTAATATTAACATCTTGCATTATTGTATTGTAGTATATTTGTTTTAACTGATGAAAAAGCATTGATACATTATTGTTAACTAAAGTCCAATACATGAGTGTTCACTCTAATGTAAAAACATTCAAATCTATAAAGAATTTTTGTGAGTTTATTTGAGCCAAATGTTGACAAGTGCCAGAAAGCAGAATCTTAACTGATTGGGATAATGCTCCTGAGAATGGTGGTTTTTAATTTTGTTTTATACTTTACATCAAAAGAGGATATCTAAGTGGGTTACATGAAATCCATTGGTGATAGCTTAAGGAGGTGGGAAAAAGCAAAGCAGGGAAACCTCTGGGATTGGATAAAAAGTAAAATGAAGTGGGTGCACGATAGTTATCAGTCAGCAATTATCATCATATCAATAAGGAATTTATGGTCTTAATCCTGGTGCCCGGGTATATTTGGTTGTGCCCCAAGGGGGTCTGGAAAAAAAGGAAGTAACAAATTACCCTAACATTTCAAGGATATGTTATAGTAGATGCAAAAAGACAGGCTCAGATAAGTAAAAGTTAACCTTGTCAGGGAAGATACCGGCTAGGAGGTGACTACCCACCATAACTGCTTTTAGTTAAAGTTTAACTTTACACCATCCTTTGTGGGTACTTTAAGAGTTTGCAAGACTGCCTTGCAGGCTTTCCCTGAGCTTGTGAGGTTAGAATGTGGCTCCTTTTGTCCACAGTTCTATGGGTTTTAACTAATGCATGTTACTAGTGAGTGACTACAATTACAGTTTCATACAGAATAATTTCAGAGTCTTAAATATCCCCTGTGCTCCACCTATTCCTTTCTCCCTCCTCCAATCTCCTGGCAGCCACTGATATCTGTGTAGTCTCTATGTACTGTTTCCATAGTTTTGCCTTTTTCAGAATGTCATATAGTTGGAATCATGCAAAATGTAGCCTTTCAGAGTGGCGCTTTTACTTTAGCAATAGGCATTTGTGTTCCTCCCTGTCTTTTTGTAACTTGATAGCTCATTTCTTTTTATCTCTGAATAACATTCTATTTTACGCAAGTACCACAATTTATTAGACATTCATTTATTGAAAGACATCTTGGTTGTTTCCAAGTTATGGCTATTATGAATAAAGCTCTTTTGCTGCTGTCAGCATTTATGTGTAGGTTTTGTGTGGATATAAGTTTTCATCTCATTTGGGTAAATATCAAGGAGAGCAAATGCTGGACCATATGGCAAAAGCATATTTAGTTTTATAAGAATCTGCCAGACTGTCTTCCAAGATGGCTGCATCATTTTGCATTCCCACCAGCAATGAATGATAGTTCTCTTTGCTTTGTATCCCTGCCAGCATTTGGTGACCTTTCCCCTCATCAAACACAGTTACATCACTTTTAGTTTATACTGAATTTGCTGTCAGCCAAAATCCCTTAGATAATTTTACATGACTTCATGGGTTAGTCACATTCTCTTTCTTCTAAAGTTAATCTTTAGACTTCCCTAAGTGTTCTTCCTTCCAATTGGTGCCTCTTCCAGATGCCCTAGGATATCTTATTTATTAGGTGCACTTATAACTGCTGTAAGTCTTGCTGTGAAGGACTTTGGGAGACTGAAGTTCTGAAAACTGGAGGTGTCTGGGAGTTTACATTCATCTCCCAACCAGGAGGGCCCATAGACAATAACTGACTGGTATGGAGGTACAAGAACCCAGCTTTCTTGTCTCAACTATGACATAATTTTATATTCTCCAGAACTCCTTGAAGGGTCACACAGAAGCCAGGCTTAACCTAAACCACATTATCTATCTTCTCTCACTTCTTACAGGTTTCTCCCAAGGATACAAGTTTAATAAATCACTTGCATATTCCCATCCTAGGCTCTGCTTCTAGAGCAGCAGTTCTCAACCTGTGGGTCAAACAACCCTTTCACAGGGGTTGCCTAAGACCATGGGAAAACACAGATATTTACATTATGGTTCATAACAGTAGCAAAATTAGTTATGAAGTAGCAACAAAAATAATTTTATGGTTTGCGGTCACTACAACATGAGGAATTGTATTAAAGGGTCATGGTATTAGGAAGGTTGAGAATCACTGTTCTAGAGAATCTGACATTATTTTGACTTCTTTTGATTACAGCACACAATTGTTTTTAATATTTTTGACTATTATAACTCTTCTTTTAAAGTGGCATTGGCTTAACTTCTAATAGGTTATTTTGATTGTTCATGCATTATTGTTTGTATCTATTGAATCTCTCAGGGCCACATTGTTTTATTTTTACTTTAAAAAAAATTTTAGGGCCAGATTTTTTTCCAGAAAAAAAAATCACCTCTCCAATATTATATTGAATGTCAGAGGGAAAACCAGATTAATTTTATAAAACTTCACTGCAAACTAACCATGAATGGAATAGATTTATTTCATTAGGTGAGGTTTAACTCCACTTCATTCCTTTATGCCACATCTTTCATTGAACTGCTTGACAGTGGTACTATTTTAGAGAGTAGACATACTGTATTTCAGAGTCTCATTAGTGTCAGGATTTCTTCTTGTGCCAAAGATTTTGTCTGAATGATATCTACCTTTTATTTTTTTAGTGGTCGACCCCTACTTGATCAAAAAGCTTTTCTTCAAAGAGAGGCCCATTGTCTGTGTTTCTCTGTTATGAGTCTTGGGACACAATCTTACTTGGAAGGAAAGAACCATTCAGAAAGCTGCCAGCACCATTCCTGGTGGCTCTGGATCCTTTCATAAGGATGAAGCTTGCAGAGAAAGTGTCACCTGATTGGAATGAAAATTATAAAAGGGGAAGGGGCCGCTGTGAGGTAACATGGCCCCAAGTCAGCTGAATAAGACTGGAGGTAGCACACAAGACCTGGAATGGAAAAGTTTCTAAACAATTTTCTCATATTATTTCTAAATATCAAGTCACCAAAACGAATGTGAAGCCAATGGTATGGGAGGACATAAAAAGCCAGCAGAGAGAATAATAGGATTTTGATTGATATGTCAAGGAAATGGTCATAATAATAGGTTGTTTGGAGGGTGTAAAAAGAATTGTAACACAACTAACAATACCAGCCAAAACATTGTGACAGAGAATGTGGCTGGTTCTGCTGAAAGGTTCTCTAGTCTTCACATCAGTGCCTGTGAAAGAGTCCATACCCAAGGAATTCTGAATGTGAGAGATCATGGTTCATGCTTTCACCTGACATGCCACGTTGCACGAAGGAGAGTACGTATAAGTGAAGAATGGCATTCTGGAGAAAGTGAAAAGGATTGTTCAAGAAGCTCATTCCCAGTCCTTCTGGAGTTTTCTGTTTGTTTCACAAAGTAGAGTGCGAATAATTCTCTAAGACTATTGTAAGCAAAGAAAATTCATATCCTTTTTGAGTTAGATCAGACATGGAAAATACATTTCATTTCATGTGTTATTGCTGATCAAATGGTAGTTGTTGCCTGAGCTCCGTGTTGAGAAAGATTCTGAGACTGTATCTGGATTGATTGAAAAAGAGTGCTGTTACCAATGAATAATGTCTGTCACAGGTATGTGTGTGTGTGTGTGTGTGTGTGTGTGTGTGTGTGACATGTGGCATGTTTTTACCATTGAGCTCCTCTCTCTCTCTCTTTTTTTTTTTAAAAAAAAAATATATTTTATTGATTTTTTACAGAGAGGAAGGGAGAGAGAGAGCTAGAAATGTCGATGAGAGAGAAACATCGACCAGATGCCTCTTGCACACCCCCTACCGGGGATGTGCCCACAACCAATGTACATGCCCTTGACCGGAATCGAACCTGGGACCTTTCAGTCCGCAGACCGACGCTTTACCACTAAGCCAAACCGGTTTCGGCTGAGCTCCTCTTTTGTGAAGAGCAGATTTAAGTATTGTGTTTTTCTTTCATTAGCTAGTAGTCTGACTTTGAGCAAGTGACTTCATGTCTTTGCACACTCTTTTCCTTTAAGAAGAATGACGTTTCTGTCCTGGATAATCTGTGTTGACTCTTTAAATCCTAAAATTATATGACTGATTACTGGTCAAACTAAGGCATTGTTTTGGGAAACTGCAGGGTGTGTCTTACTTTGGGTTCCCCCAGATGAGGACTTGAGACAGAAGCAAGTGATTTAAAAATATATGTTTTTATTGATTTCAGAAAGGAAGGAAGAGGGAGAGAGATAAAAGCCTCTGTGATGGGAATCATTGATTAGCTGCCTCCGGCACACCCCACACTGGGAATCAAGCCTGCAACTCCGACATGTGCCCTGACTGGGAATCAAACCATAACCTCCTGGTTCATAGGTCGACACTCAACCACTGCGTCTTATGGGCTGGGCTCAATTGCAAGTAATTAAAATAGGAAAGTAAAGAACCCTGTAGGGTGTGTTATCAAATCAGTTACTACTTATACCCACTGGGGAAATCAAAGTGATCCCTATCTGGGAGACAAGATTACTTGAATAGTTTTACACCAGCTCCTGTCAATCGTTAATGAGGGCTTGAGGGTGAGGGAGGGCAGCTTAATTTACTTCCTCTCTGCTACACTGGCAAGCAAAACAGATGTTGGCACTACATACAGGAAGTCCTCAGGCAGAAAATACAGTTGCCAATATGAATAAGGCACCCTTAAGTGGTAAGTCAGGGGAAATGGAAAGGGTCTGCTAGACTAGGATTCTTGGGATAATAAGTAAAAGAACTCATTAGAAGTTAGGGTATTAAATACAGTTGATACTCAAACATTGTGATAATAAATTACTTGCTTTTGAATCTAATTATGAGTTGAGTTAGAGAAGTCTATGAAATCTATAAGTTATTTTTTATTTAAATACCTATGAAGAAAGTCTTTAGACAGCATTGTCTGGTAATGTGTTTTACATGTGTTTTACTGTTTTCTTCACAGTCAAAATACCATGACAACCCAAATCAAAAGGTAGCCTCAACCAATACCCAAGAAGGTCTGAAACTCGTGCTGATAAGTGGAGATGTTTCATGTTTCTGTGTAAGTGGTTCTATTTAGTAAATCTATAAAGGAACAATGGGGTCCAATGAACTGGTTCTGTGATTTAAGGTTAACAATTAAGATTGTATAAGTTTGAGAAGTTAAACCCACCTGGAGTTCATGCAGTGTTATACTTACCATTTCCAATATTCTTCCACCTGTACTCATATGGGGAGATCCAAGTTTAACCACAAACCAGGTTGTGCAAACCTACCTCTTTTATTTCTCTACTAGAGTCCCATGCACAAAATTTGTGAACTTGCTGTGTGTGTGTGTGTGTGTGTGTGTGTGTGTGTGTGTGGAGGGGGTGGGGGTGTCCCTCAGCCTGGCCTGAATCCTCTGGCAGCATAGTCAGGGAACCTGAGATCGATCATCCCACGGAGGGAGACCCCACCCACCTGACGCAGCCTGCCAGTCAGTGGCCTGGGCCTCCCTCTCTAGGGCAATTGATCATGGAGCCCTCCCCCACCCCCCATCTCCTTTCCCATCAATTGCTCTGCAGAGGGTGGCCTGGGCCTTCCTCTGTGGGGAAATTATGGAGCAATGGCGCCTGCCCCCAATCGCATTGCACCTGTCTTGGCTGGCCTGGTGCCAGTGTGTGTCATAGCATGGTTGTCTGGAAGGTCATTTTGCTATTTGGCGGTTCAATCAATTTGCATATTATGGTTTTAGTATCTTATATAATAAAAAGAGGTAATATCAAATTGACCATCACTCCAACACACAAGATGGCAGCCCCCATGTGGACATAAGATGGCCACCACAAGATGGCCAGCAGGGGAGGGCAGTTGGGAGGAACCAGGCCTGCAAGGGAGAACAGTTGGAGGTGATCAGGCCTGCAGAGAAAGGCAGTTAGGGGTGACCAGGCCAGCAGAGGAGGGCAATTTGGAGCAACGAGGCCTGCAGGGGAGGACAGTTGGGGGGACCCATGCCTGCAGGGGAGGGCAGTTGGGAGGGACCAGGCCTGCAGGGGAGAGAAGTTGGGGGCAACCAGGCCAGCAGGGGAGGCAGTTGGGCTGACCAGGCCTGAAGGGGAGGGCAGCTAGGGGCAATCGGGCCAGCAGGGGAGCAGTTAGGCATTGATCAGGCTGGCAGGGGAGTGGCACATGTGTCAAACACAAGGCCCGCGGGCCAAATCCGTCCCGCCAGGCCTTGCAATGTGGCCCGCACCGCGCTGTCATCACTGCACTCCACTGCGTTCCCATCACAATGACAGTTTATGACTGTTCAGTAAACCATTCGGCCCGCAATTTAGGCTGGATTTTAGATTTTGGCCCCTTCTCTGATTGAGTTCGACACCCCTAGGTTAGGGAGTGATCAGGCAGCAGGTAGAAGTGGTTAGGGGCAATTAGGCAGGCAGGCAGGCAGGCAAGCGGTTGGGAGCCAGCAGTCCTGCATTGTGAGAAGGTTGTCCAACTGTCTGTTTAGACCCGATTCCACCAGTGGGATCAGGACTAAACGGGCAGTCGGACATCTCTCAAGGGGTACCAGATTGGAGGGGTGTAGGCTGGGCTGAGGGACACAGATACACCCCTGTGCACAAATTTAAAGCACCAGGCCTCTAGTTATAGATAACTTATCTTGACTTACTCTCAACCCAACTCTATTTTATTCTCCTGTTCAATCAGCATCAATGGGGAAGACATATGTATATCATGCTATAATATCACCCTTCACAAACACACCCTGTTGCTTCTGCCAGAGCACTTTCTGAGGCATGGGAGGAATGAGGAGGGAGAAAAGTTACCAGTACAGGTACTAAATGCTCAGCTCGGCTCTTGCCTGCCCCTGTCCTCCTATTGCTTCCTTTTCCTTGGAATCATCAATTAGCAGGCCTTGTGTCCTCTCTATAATTGACGTCCATGAAACAATCCTAACTGCAATTCAGAACCATCTGAAAAACTTAAAATATCAATGCCCAAGCCCCATCCTTAGAGATCCTGATTTTAGTTGGTCAGTTATATGGTCTAAATGTTAGAGGTTTTTGAAAGCATTCTTAGTGATTCTAAGATGTAGCTAGGGCTGAGAACTATTATTGATTTGAAGTCTTCATAATTCTATAGCCACCACCATTTTGACACTTGATATTTACCTTCAGATGGCACGTGTTCAAGACTAATGAGTAGAGAATATTTCTTACAAATTTAGACTCTTATGGATTATAAACCACGGGAATTAATTTTTTCATTTTTATTTTTTGCTTTTGCTGCAGCTAATGAGGTGGAAGAGGCAAGGCAGCCAGCTACTTCATGTTCTCTAGAATAAATGCAGCCTGTAGACCCCTTTGTCATATGGGTTCAGGACTTTGATCTACAGGTTAAAAAGTTTAATCTTATTATAACCAGACTTGACCTGATATTAATCAAACTCAAGAAACTCATTTGTAAAATGGAATTGTAATTATTTAATTTACAACAAGAAAGGTAATTGCCGTCGCTACTGATAATAGTGAGCTCTGTAGATGACTATTATGAGACTGCTTGATGAATATAATCAGACTAGAAAGAAACTGAATGACACAAAAGCACACTAAATTTCTTTGTCTCTCTAGGAATTGGCATAGTGCAGTGGTTATTCAGACCAATTGTAAAGCCAGTACTGGCAGGGTTAAGATACTACCCCAGCACTGATCTCGGTCTTTCCACTATTGGTCTATTGATTGTTAAATTCTTGTCAAATCATGCCAGGGTACCTATTCTCACCCATGGATGATGCTGTATAAACTTTGGAGTCCTCTTAAACTCTTTCTTCTCTGAATTCCTTTCACTCTCAAGTGAGTTTCAAAGCCTCCTTGCACAGGTGTCTTGTACATACCCATTTCTTTTCATCCCCTTGGTACTGGCCTTGCCATCTTGCCTTTAGTCTTTCACCCTCCAATCTATCCGCTACATTGCTGTTTGATGCATATTCCTAAAACATTGTTATATCAGATACTCCACACTGCCTATAGGATAAAGTTCAGAAAAAGCTGGCTTTTCAGAGTCCTCCATCATCTGGCTCTAAGTCTGTTCCCAGCCCTATCTCTCACCATTGAGACAGTTTTTTAACTAAATGGGCCAACCTTCTGACCTTCCTCAATTTCATGAACTTTCTTAGATAGTTACCTACTTAGAATGCTTTCCTGTGTTCTTTCTACCTGTCTTAGTTCTAGCCATTATCCTCTCTGTAAAGACTTTACTAAACAATCCAATCTAAATGATACCTATCCTTTTTTGGAATGTCTATAGCTATTAATAATTGTATATTATTATAAAGGTGTTTTTTTTTTAAAAACTGATTTGGACATTAAGCCCATTTTACCTTTTACATGTTAATATATTGATTCAGTAAGTAGAGAGTGAGGCTGTAAGTGGGAGTGAGAAGAAAGTGGGCTGGATCTAATTTTTTCTTTGTTTGTTTGTTTGTTATTTTTGAAGGCTCACTCACTCTTGTCCCTGCAAAGACCTTCTTGGGTCCAGAGATCAGTTTATATTAACTTCATTTAAGATTGTGGTGGACCTATAAGTGCTGATTGTTAACTTGTGAAATAGAACTATTATTGGTCCCAAGGCACAAACACCTTTTCATTTACAATGAGGAAGAGCTCCCCAAGGGACTGGAATCCTCAAAATCCATATGATCAGTGTTCTCCCTCCAAATTTGAGCAAAAATAAATAAATAAACAAATAAATAAATAAATAAATAAAATTCAAAAAAAATTGAAATAAATGAAATTAGGTGAACTGAATATATAATATCTATTGGCATCAGGCCATGACCCCATCTCACCAAAGAGATGGTCTTGGCACAGATCACAGATATCAGAGAACTGAGTACTGTAGGACAGGCTGACCTTCACTTCTGTGAACTTCCTTTGTCTAGCCTTTAAGGCTGGTCAGAAACCCCCTTTCAGATGGACCCATTCTTTCTTTACGTATACTAATGAAATCAAAACAATTATTCTCAGTTCCTGCCTGCCTAAAAGCAATTATTTCTTCCTCAGTCTCTCTCAAATTTTCTGTGTGCTTCTCTTTCTGCCACTGCCTTTCATTTATTTTATTATTATTATTTTTAATCTCTGGGTGTTTCAGTCATTTTCATAGCTCTAGGCTGACTCATAATTTTTTGACTTGATGGTAGTGGGTATGTATTTCCTTAATTTTTAAATTTTGGGGCTCACTTGATTATAGTGTCTAAGTGCTAACAACAGATTGTAAGCTCCCTGAGAATAGGGCTGATAGGCCAGTGTGAGATGCAAAGCATAGCTTGTGCAGTACCCCACAATACTTAGCAGGTCAAAGGTGCTCAGTAGTTATTTATTGATCCAACCTCTCACAAATTGTTGCTGTTTTCACTAAGGCCGATGTCATTGTCAACACTGTACCCGCGGATCTTCAGCTTGGAAGGGGATCACTCTCTCAGTCTCTTTTGTGTAAAGCTGGTCCCATGCTCCAGACAGAGTTAAATGCCACCAGGCAGGAAACAGAGGAGAAAGTGGGTAGCATATTCATGACAAGTGGCTGCAATCTGAACTACAAAGCTGTGCTCCATGTTGTGGCTCCAGACTGGAATAATGGAGCACGATCTTCTTTGCAGGTAAAAAAAAGTCCTTAGTTCTCCATTTCATTTGGTAGCATTGCTAATCTTCTGACATGGTATAGTTTTGTGGTTCTCAACCAAACCGAATTTATCTCATAGGGAAACATTTGGCCTGTTACAGCTGCTATTGGTAGCTAGGGGTAGAGGCCAGGACTGCTGCTAAATCCCCTACAAGGCATATGCCAGTCTCCACAACAAATAATTATCTGGTCCAGGTTGAGAAACCCTAACATGTATTTAGCCCTGTTTATTTATTGAAATCTTTATTACCTTTCGTGAAGAGTCCATCACAACTTTCAGTTATTTCAGAAAAAATTGACCTTTAAAAGGAATAGCAATTATTGGGATTCTCCAGAAATGGTGTCTGAAGATTATTGTAGATTAGCATAATAATCCTTCAGTATAACTAAGAAATGCAGCCATATTTGTGGTGTAGAATGAAGAAGGGTCAGTGCCCTTCTTTTGATGATATAATTTTCACCTCTATTCCTAATTTAACTCCCCTAACCTTTTTTTTTCAGAATATAAAGTAATATGTGTACCTTGCAGAAAATACACAGAAAGCACAAAAATATAATAAAAATCATAATCCAGCCACACAGAGATAACTTTGATTAACATTTTACTATATTATCTTCTATTTTATGCATATTTATTTTTAGTTAATATATTCTTCTATTTTTAATCCTGCTTATTTTTTTTTACATAACATAAACACTTGCCCATGTTATTTAAAACTTTTCATAAACATCAATTTTAATTGCAACGAGATACTCATAACATTTCCATACTGTTGGGACCCTCTCTCCTGCATGAGTCTGAATCTCTGTAAAAGTCTTCCTGCATGAGTTTGAATCTCTGTAAAAGTCCTCTCCCTCTTCTTGGTTTCTCATTCTGCCTCCATAAGCCCTGACAAAACCTAAGATAACAGAGAGGGCTTGGTCAGGGTTGCTGTAACCACAGTTTTTCTGTTTTCTACCAGCTTGAGCCCTAACTTATATAATGAATTTTGTACATTTCAGATAATGGCAAATATAATCAAGAACTGTTTGATGACTGTAGAACGGCTATCTTTCTCATCAATTACATTTCCCATGATTGGAACAGGAAATCTGGGGTTTCCCAAAGCTGTATTTGCTGAACTAATCCTTTCAGAAGTGTCCAAATTTAGTACCAGGGCATGGCTGAAAACCTTACAAAAAGTTTACTTTCTGGTACATCTTGATGATGATGAAAGCCGTAAGGTATGGTTACATATCTCTTCTGGTCTTTCTGGCAAGCTAAGTGCAATCTGATGGTTTTTTTTTTAGATGTACAAATAACAGCACTTTCTTCTTCAGCACTGGTATTGAGGAAATTCCTAAATTGAATCATAACCCTTTGATTAAAAAGTCTCTGAAATAAGAAAATCTATTGAGAACGATTGTTCCTGTTTGATGATTCTCCATGTTCCAAAGAATTGGGTTAATATTTCTACAAAGCATTGATGTGGTCAGTAACTGTGTTTCTTTCTCTCTAGGCATTTTTAAATAAATTCACTAGATGGTGGAGTGGAAATCTCAACAAGGAAAGGATTATCATGGTTGGAAATACCCAAGGTCTGGCTGGTTAATTTGTTCTACTGGGGCAATGTTTCCCTTTGCTTAGTAACTCTTTGGTGTTGTTGAAGTCCCATAGAAAGAGACAAATTCCTGTGAAGAACAAATCAGTAATGGAGAAAGTGTCAGTGTGTTCTAAAGAATAGATCATATTGTTGTGAATGAAATAACTGGTAATGAGGCCAGAATTTCTAAGATCCTATATAGTAAAAGGCTAATAGGCAAATTGACTGAACAGTGGAACAACTAGTCACTATGACCTGCACTGACCACCAGGAGGCAGACGCTCAGTACAGGTGGTCAGTGCGCTCCCACGGAAGGAGTACCACTCAGCCAGAAGCCGGGCTCACAACTGGTGAGCGCAGCCAAGTCTGAGGAACCCCCTAAGTGCATGAATTTCCTGCCCCTGGCCTCTAGTATAATAAAAGATAACTGAAATTTGCATGGCACATTAAACTTTACTGATTGCTTTCATAAGTATTATATTATTTAAACTTATACCATGGCCCCATGGGCAGGTGGTTGGTTCTGTTGCCATTGTATAAATGTGGAAACGGAGGTCATTAGTAGAAATGGCACTTCTAAGTTGTAGAGCCTCGGAGTGTAGAGTGGACAGTCATATGTCAACATGTTAAATGGCATATCACTGTGATTTCCCCAGAGCAGCCTTGCTATTGTTATTCCAGTGGGATATGAAGGGGAGGAAGAGCTCCATGTTGATTAGTGAGCTGTTGTTTAACATTGGACAAATGACCTAGCCACTCTGACCATTTTTCCTTTTTGTAAAATGGTAATAAAAGGATCGCCTAAAGTACAAACTTTTAGTTCTAAGATGAATAAATTCTGGAGACCTAATTTATAGCATGGGGAATACAGTTAATAATAATGTATCAAATACTTGAAATTTGCTAAGAGAGTGGATCTCAAGGGTTCTCACTACACTCACACACACACACACACACACACACAGCAACTGTGTGAGAATGGGTGTGTTAATCAGCTCAATTGTGGCATCATTTCACAATGAAAACTGACAATACACACCTTAAATATATACAATTTTTGTTTGTCAACCATACATCAATAAAGTTAAAAAAAAGAATCTCCACGAAATGTCAGCATGAAATGAGAGTGCACTTTGCTCTCTCACCTTCTTTCTCTCTCATGACATCACAGCAACTTTTGCAGACAAATAGATGGTCAAGCAGATGTTTCTGCCTCATCCTATTTAACTGAGAAAATGTAGATATTCCTATTGCTACAAAACATTGTTTTCTGATTTCCTTTTAAAAACAACAACAACAACAAAAACACCCAGCAGCTTAATAGACTAGGAGACATGGCAATGTTTGGATTTATTTCAAGGGGAAAAGAAGAAAGGAGAGACCCTTCATGTTTTTCCTACAGGAGCCAGCTGCTCCTTCACCCATCTCCTTTCTTTTCAGGTATCTTTGGGTCTGTCACTTGCCCTTGGCCCACAGTGTATGAAATGAAAATTGGTGCAATTACTTTCCAGGTTGCTATTGGAGATATTACAAAAGAAAGTGCAGATGTTATTGTAAACTCAACAACAAGGATGTTTAACCTGAAATCAGGTACCTCATTTAAATTATATTCTTGATTGCAAACATTAATAAAACCAATTTCTGGAAGGGAAATGGTGGCTAATGTTGCCCTGAGTAGACAAAGAGGTGTGTTGTAAATATACAGGCCCTGGAATCAGAAAGACTTGGCTTTCAATCCAGGCTATGCCAGTTACCATCCTGTGGCCTTGGGCAAATCACTCAACCTCTCTGAGCCTGACTTTCTTTGCTGTCTAATGCCTACTACCAAAGAAGCATAAATGGGGTATAAGTGATGTAAAGGTAGGGTGTATCTGATACATTATACCTAGTGTCAGCTCTCATCCTTTCTTAGCTCTGAACTATCAAAATTCCACACTTACAATTTAATCAGCTTTAAGTTCTTCTATTTCTATTTCCCTTTTTATGTTGATACTCATATCTCACCTCCTATAACTGCTCTCTATAGTATACTGACCCAAATGAAATTCAACCTCTTTTTCTTAATTTTTCTTAAAATATTTGACCAGCCCCTTTGATATAACACTTTTGAGCATGCCCTCTCTACATGTCTATTTATTTACAACTTATATACATTACTCATATGCTGATACATCTTGTATATTATAAAACACTAATCTTTAAATTAAAAGGGCAAGATAAAACATAGGATGGCTGGCTGGGTAGGAAGAGATCTTGTATCCTACCTCATACAAAGAACTTGTATCCTAACTAATAAAAGAGTAATATGCAAATTAACCAGCACTCTGCTACACTCACAAGGCACACCACCAGCCACGTCCACTAGCCAATCAGAGCAAGTATGCAAATAAACCCAACCAAAATGGCTGCAGCCACAGAGAGCAGAAGGGAGGCTTGGGTTTCCCAGGCAACAGAGGAATCCAAGGTTTCTACCTGCCCTTGCCAGCATAAGCCTTCACTCCAGGCTACAAAGTTTCAATTGTAGAAGGTAAATAAATTCCAGATACCAGGGCCTTTGCTTGGGTTGCCAGGGGGCATGGCTGGCCTGCAAACCACCACAGACCTCTCACTCAGGACACCCCATGCCCCAAGGGAAACCTCACCCTGATCTGGGACACCCTTCAGGGAAAACCAGCTGGCCACACCCATGCACCAGGCCTCTATCCTATCTAATAAAAGAGTAATGTGCAGATTGACCATCACTCCAACACACAACAGCTGCCCCTTGTGGTCAAAGATGGTTGCCCCCATGTGGACACAAGATGGCCACCACAATGTGGCCAGCAGGGGAGGGCAGTTGGGAGGCACCAAGCCTGCAAGGGAGGGCAATTGAGAGGGACCAGGCCTGTAAGGAAGGACAGTTGGAGGCAATGAACCCTGCAAGGGAGGGCAGTTAGGGATGATCAGGCAGGCAGAAGAGGGAAGTTGGGAGCAAACTGGCTGGCAGGGGAGCAGTTAGACATCAATCAGGGTATCATGGGAGTGGTTAGGGGGTGATCAGGCTGGCAGGCAGAAGTGGTTAAGAGCAATCAAGAAGACATGCAGGTGAACAGTTGTGAGTCAGCAGTCCTGGATTGTAAGAGGAATGTCCGTCTGCCAGATAGCCCCCAACTGCATAAACTGGCAGTCGGACATCCCTCGAGGGGTCCCAGATTGGGGAGGGTGCAGGCTGGGTTGAGGGACCCCTCACACCCCCCCCCCCCCCCGCCCTGTGCATGAATTTCATGCACCTGGCCTCTAGTGCATATAGATAGATAGATAGATAGATAGATAGATAGATAGATAGATATATGTATGCATAATCCATCGACATAGACAATAGCATACTAAAGGCCTGGGGTGGGGGACCAGGGCAAGCTAGAAGGGGTCAATGGGGAAAAATTTGGACATTTGCAATACTTTCAACAACAAAGATTTAACATTTAAAAAATATTTTCTAAATTGCAAAAATATTATGGAACTTACCATGCAGAAGTGAGTCTGTAGAATATCCATTCAAAAAAAATTTTTTTTAATTAATTCTCACCTGAGGATATTTTTCCATTGATCTTTTAGAGAGAGTGGAAGAGAGAGGGAAAAACAGAGAGAAACATTGATGTGAGAGAAACACGTCAATTGGTTACCTCCTGCGGGTGCCCTGACCAGAGGGGAGGAGCCTGCAGCCAAGGTACATCCCTTGACTGGGATCCTTTGGTCTAAAAGGCTGACACTCTATCTCCTGAGCCAAACAGGCTAGGGCTTCATTCAATTTTTATAAAACTATAAAGAACATTCAATTATTTAAAACACAGTAAATTAAATATATGCATTTATTTTTGCTCCCTCTTGAAACCCTGACAGAGCAAATGTAAAGGAATTAAAAGGGTATGAACCCACAGAGAAAGAGAGTTGGAGGGAAAACAACAGTAACAGAGATAGCAACATATTTTCAGAAGCAGCTAGCCAGTGAAGGCAGCTGACAGAATGGAGAAAATAGTACCTGCGGGAGAGAACCACAGCCCCTAGAAACACAGGAACTTGAGGCAGCAGGAACCTGGGAAGGCAGGGGATGAAAAGAGGAGAAAATGGAATTGGATGGAAATCTGAGACCTTTGATGCTATCCCCTATCCTGTGCAGCAGTAACTTCCCTTGCTCTTTCCTAGCCAGAGTTGGGAGGTGTAATTTTTTTTAGAGACACTGAACCAGGGAGCTTTGCAGACTTAGCACACTGGGAACAGGTGAGATGAGGACGGGGAGCTAGACTGAAAACATGGTTTCAGTGAGGTGTCTGTAGTGAACAGTGAGTGCCCAGCCCCTATCCCAGTGGGGCTCTCTGAGCAGCAGATGGGTTTATACCCCCTAGACAGGAGATGGGAGTATCCTTCTGGGGTGAACCTGATCACCCTAAAATCCAGTAGTTACTGCCTGCTCACCTTATTCTGAAGCCTATCAGTCAGCAAGCCTCCTGCACAAGGAGCTTCCAAAATCACTCTTACAGTCCGCGTTGGTGGTATAGTGGTGAGCATAGCTGCCTTCCAAAATCACTCTTACATATGGAGCGACAAATATCGCCTATTTGAGAAAAACCTCCACCATTGCAAAGTCAGAGGCCAAAACAAACTGAAAAAAGGAGATTTAAAAAAAGAGATAATTCATAATCAAGTAGATATGTGTACATAGGTAGGTAGGTAGGTAGGTAGATAGATTGGTAATAGATCTTCATGATGATGCAATAACTAACATTTATTTATACTTTGTGTGTGCCAGATTCTGTATTAAGTAATTCTCATCCGTTATCTCTTTCAATGTTCAATGTAGGAAAAGTACTATGCCAGCCTTTGTGTAACAGGTCAGGAACTGACTGGTGACATGTTAGCTAGTAAGTTGTGGACTCAACTCCAACCCAGTGTGCCAAAATGCAAAGTCCATGTTTTCAACCACTGAACCCAGTTGTCCTTAAATGTGACCAAGGTGGTGGGGCTGCAGCCTTGATCAGAAGATTCATTGGACTGAAGCCAGCCAACTATCTGTAATTGCGAAAATCCCAGTCAAACAAAATTAAATAACAAAATCAAAGAAGTTAAGTAAATTGCTCAGGATTATGATAGTTTTTAGATCCATGCTTCTCATTCGTCTCAGAACTTTTCTCTTTATATTTTTATTCAATTTTGTAAAGTAGTAAGCATAAAATGCAAAAAAAAAGAAAACTTAAATAACTGCAGAAATATCCCAGTACAAATAGAGACGGTAAAGCTGCAGACACTGGAGACTTTCCGCTGTTGGGCAGTGCCCTCCTCCTGTGGATCAGATTGTTTATTCACCTGCCATTGAATGAAGGCAGCTATAGAAAGGTGATTTTCTAAGGAGGGGAACGTCAATGGATTATGCAAAGGGTGAGCTGAATAAAAGCCTAATGTGCAAAAGCTATAACTACCTATTGAATATTAACAGATGGTTTATATCATTAATATGTCTTCTGTAGGGGTGTCAAAAGCAATTTTAGAAGGTGCTGGACCAGCTGTGGAAGATGAATGTGCTGCACTAGGTATGATGTCATGTTGCTGTTGCCTACAACCTATAGAAATTTAAGGGGCTGAGACTATGGTGAGAGGATCCGTGGGTGGAGTAAATGATGAGTGCTTTGGAAGACGGTGGGCTCACTGGGAGAGGAGACAGGTGGTATATGATGTGGGGACTGTCGGGGAGAGGTCCTCTCTCCCACCATCCCACCTGTCTCTTCCTGAAAATTAAAAAGAACCCAGGCCTGGGACCTAACCCAGGCTCTGCCTTCTACTCAGGGATCCTCCCTGAGCTTTGTTTCTCTTCTTTCACCCATAAGACAGTTCTACTGATGAGGAGTATGACAATGGCTATCCCACATGTGGTTGTGAGGATGAGAAGGAAAAATGAATGTAAAGAAAGTTTTGTAAGCTGTAAAGTGCTATATAAATGACCTTTTACTTACCCCAGTCTTATTCTACTTCACATAGCACAGCATGAACCTGAGTTTTACTCCTTTTATGAATAAACTAGAGGCCCAGTGCATGAAATTCATGCACGGGGGGTGAAGGGGGAGGGTCGCTTCAGCCCAGCCTGCACCCTCTCCAACCTGGGACCTTTTGGGGGATGTCCAACAGCTGAAATTGGGCCTAAATCAGCAGATATCCCTCTCATAATCCTGGACCACTGGATCCTAATCCATCACCTGCCTGCTTGCCTGGTTGCCATTAACTGCCCATTTCTCCCACTGGTCTGATTGCCCCTCACTACCTTGGTGTGCTGGCCTGGTCACCCTTACTGCCCCCCACTGCCGGCCAGATAGCCCCCAACTGCCCCCGCCCTGCTGGCCTGGTCATTCCTAACTGCCCCCCTACCCCCCCACTGACCTCGTTGCCTCTTACTTCCCCCAACCCCCCCGCAAGTCTGGTTGACTGTCACTGCCCCTCCCACCCCCCACTGGCCTGGTCACCCATCACTGCTCCCCCTGCTGCCCTGGTCACCCCTCACACCTCACCTCCCCAGGCCTTGTTGCCCCACACAGCCTGCTTGTTCAGTTGTTTGGTTATCCCTCACTAACCCCCCTGTCGGCCTGGATAGGCAGCCATTTTGTGAGGACATGAAGCTTAATTTGCATATCACCTCTTCATTATATAGGTTAAGTGAGCCTGTGTGGGTCTGAGGGGTTTTATGACACCAACCAATTATCCACTTCTGACACTACCTACCTAAGTTAGTACCAGATCCCACAGGTTAAAGGTCTCAGTCCCACAAAATTGCCCAAGCCCTTCTCCCACCCACCCACCCCTCCTTCAAATGCCAGTTTTAAGTCTCAGGGGCCACCTGTACTTCTGACTGGCTGGCTATAAATTCAGAGGTTACAAATAACCCCTTCTCAGGTTCAACAATTTACTAGAATTATTCATAGAACTCTGTAAAAACACTTTTCTTACCTTTCCCAGTTTATTGTAAAGGGTACAACTCAGGGACAGCCAAGTGAAAGAAATGTGTCAAATGACAAAACTAAAACAATTTGATGATGAGTGTGAGGTCCTTTATTTAAGAAAACAACCTGTGGAGGGGCGTGCAGTGCCTTACAAGTATGGAGCACTCTTCCTGAGGGACTGTGGGCAAGAGCAAATTTTCTAGAGGATTGGAAGTGGGAGCATGGGAACAGTGTGTGATTGGCTGGGGTTGTATATTGGACTTTAGTTAGAAAGATCAGGGAACAAGGAAATAAATATAGTGCTTAGAGTTGGTTCAGAGTTGGTGTTTGGGGATTAGCTGTCTGAATATACTATGTTTCTGACCAAGTGGAGCATTTACAGGAAAAGGAGGGTTTGGTTTGAGAGTTCAGTTTGCTGATGTGGCACACCAGGCAGGAGTGTACATGAAATTTTTATATTTATTTATTTATTTATTTATTTACTTATTTATTCATCTATTTATTTATTTTTATGCCAGCATGGGACAGGGTATGGGGAAAGAGGCACAGAGCGGTTAGGGGTGATCAGGCTGGCAGGGGGGCAGTTAGGGGCAATCAGGCAGGCAGGCAGGCAAGTGAGCGTTTAGGAGCCCGTGGTCCAGAATTGTGAGAGGGATCAGGCCTAAACCCACAATCAAACATTCCCCAAAGGGTCCTGGATTGGAGAGGGTGCAGGCCGGGCTGAGTGGACCCTCCCCCTCCCATGCACGAATTTCATGCCCTGGGCCTCTAGTTAATGTATAATAGATACTCTTATCACTCAGGGGATTCGAAGGGCTCCAGGAACTCTGAACCAGGAGCCAGGAATGAAATATTTATTTTTTTATTATAGCATGGTGAAGAACCTATAAGAGTGAGCATAAACTGTTCATCCTTCAAAACCAGGACTGAACCTCGGCAGAATAGACAGTCAGCTCTGAGTATGATTTGGAGAAGTCATTTGACAGCACATTCTCACAACTGACCTATTGTCATGCCTGAAACTCCCACCTTAATAGCTCTCCTCTGATTAAGACATTTTCTCTGGAGTGAATAAATTCCTGGAGAGAGATCAGAGGATGGTACTATTGGTCCCAACTGGAGGACATCAGCAGGGATTTATTTGTGTGCTGCAAGAGCTAGCTGTAGCTTGGAAGGCAGAAGCAGAGCATGAAGCTGGCCTGACAGCTGGAAAAGTCTAAGGATGATACCTGGGAGAGGAGAGCGGGTGGACACCTGAGGGGCAGCAGGGAGTGCCTGCGTGATGGAAGCTCACCAGAAGGGTGGGGTGGGCAGGGACCAGTTCTCCTCCTGCGTTTTCCTGGAGCCTTGCTTTGCTCAGAGAGCAAAAAGGCAGTGCCTTAAAACAAGCCCTGCTAATTTCCATGTGCTTACGAGCTCCGTGGGTTCTGAGGGAGGGGAAGTTTTCATGCTTTCACACCTCCACACCACACAGTCCACTACTTTCACCTCCTTGAAAAGTGAATCTGGCTGAATGAGGCATAAATTACTCCTCTGGACAGTAGAGAGGGAGTTGAGAGCTCTGGACACTGACTGCTTAGATTCAAATCCTGGGCAGTCTTCGGCTGCTGACCTTAACCACCGCTGGCTGCTGTTAAATTTGTGAAATGGAGAAAACAGAACCTATGTCACAGGCTTTGAGGAGTGAGTGAATGAACTCAGGTGCAAAATATTCAATAATGAATAACCCGGATTGTAAAGGAAATGAGCCTGTCCCAGTCCCAGAGAATGAAATCAGCTTGATCGAGGGAGGTTGCCCTTGGTCAGGAATCTTCAGGGCTTTTTCCTTTGTCAGCTATTTTCATTTCTCAAAAATCAGCGCTGCTTCCCATAACTAATGTTCTGTGTGTGTTTCCTTTCCCCCCCCCCCCCCCCAGCGACACAGCCTCACAGAGATTTTATAGTTACACAAGGTGGATTCCTATCATGCCATATAATAATTCATGTCCTGGGAGGAAAAGATGTCAGGAAATCAGTTTCCAGTGTTCTGAAAGAGTGTGAACAGAGGAAGTACACGTCTATTGCCCTTCCTGCCATTGGAACAGGTTTGTAGCCTCTCATCGCCAAAGATTCAGAATTACTCAGATTCCTTTAGACAACCTCACTTTTAATAAACTCAATGCTGAGTGCAGAAAGCGATAGTGAGGTAAATCAGAAAGTGGGCAGGCAACCTGTCAGCCCCTTCTAGGGTCCTGAGCCCCTTTTACCAATCCTTTTCCTTATTTTAGGTTTCCTAAGCATCTTTCCATGTTTGGCCCATCAAGGTTTTCCTACTGTTCATTTGTGCCCCCCCCCCCCTTTGGGGGACTCATTTGTTCTCATTATATCAATGACCATTTCAGCACTGACTCCCAAATCAGCATTTCTAACCTTCTCCAGAATCTTCTCTGGGAGATTTCTCTGTCACCAGAAACAATGATATTACAATCCAAACTCATCATCATCTCTTGAGTTATTTCATTTTCTAGTTTCCTCCTTCTGTGGTGCCATGAATTCCCAGCTGTCCTACCACGCTTGCTTCTTTGTGTCCCAGACCCCTGTAGTCAGCGGGTCCTGTTAAATCTTCTTCCAGAGGGTGGTTCAGCTTCAGCCTTCTTTTTCGTTTCCAAACCCATAAGACCACTCCCAGCTGATTTACTGCTGTGTTTTCCAATTGGGTCCTCATTTGTGGAGTCATTAGATTGAAATGCAGTTACCCAGGCCCCGTGCAAGGCACTCGGCATAAAGCCACGACTAAGATACAGTCTCTGCCCTTAACCAACAAGCTCAGATTCATCCTGCTCACAGTTTCTAGGAACACTTTCCTCACCATCTCTATCATATCATACAATCATTTGCTCCTAGTTGAAGATGATGTTAATAGCTCACTCACTCCCTGATTCATTCACACCTGATTGCTCATGCTTTTAAAGAAGTCCTGAGAGGGGTTATATGATTTAATAAAACTTCAAACGTAAGGTCACCATGGGCGAAGACCACTGTTACTTCTCGCTTTGTTTTCCCTGGGCGCTGGGTGTTGGAGTGGCTGCGAGCATTTTTAGAAAACAGCTTAAAAAGTTGACTTAGGAATACATTTTCAGCATTTAAATTTTTATACTTGGTTGCGATTTCTTTTATGATTCTAAATATTCACTTTTATCATAATTTTCTGTTTGGAATTTTATGTTCTTCTGAGATGTATACATTTCAAAACTTACAATGTATGTGAACCCAGCCTTGACAATGAATCCCCCATTGATAGATAAGAACTTAAAATATAAAAGCACAAGGTCACACAGCTAGAAGGCAACCTAACTAAGTTCAAACCTAGGCAGCTTAGCCTGTACATTTCAACTATTCTTTTTTTTTTTTACACTACCTTTTATTTTTTTTTACCGCTATGCTCTTAATTACTATAGTCTTGCTAACATATTCTTATCTCTAATATCTACTATCTTCTATTATCACTCTAATTTTATAGCTGAGTAAACTGAAGTTTAGAGGTGATGTGGGCTGAGTTGTATCTCCCACAACTATGAGATCAGTTTCTGGCTATAGGGTGTTGCTTTCTTCTTTCTTAGCATCAGGAACTACATTTGCCAGATCTGATCACATGACCAACACCAGCTGAAACTACTTTTGTCACTTAATTTTTTTTTTCTCTCCAGGAAATGCTGGGAAAAACCCAATCAGAGTTGCTGATGACATAATCAATGCTATTGTAGACTTCACATGTGAACATTCTACTCCATCATTAAAAAAAGTTAAAGTTGTCATCTTTGTAACTGAGCTGCTGAATGTATTCTATGTCAGCATGAAGAAAAGAGAAGGAATAGCAACATCACCTACCTTTCAGTCCACATTTTCCAAGGCTGCATGTAAGATGTTCTTTTAAAAATCATGTGGTTATCTGTAATATCACTTAGAAAGTGTTTAAATGCAAATGTTCATTATTTCTATCAGTTTTAGGGCTTTACAGAAAACCTCCTATAATACTTGGGAAAAGTATAGGAACTATGGAGCACAATCTCTCTGTCAACCGATTATTCTTCTGAGGGACAAAATCATGCCTGAGAAACTGGAAAAACAAATGAGCAGAAAGAGAAGAAAAGGGCTGAGAGATCAGAAAGAGGGGAACAGACTTTGAAAATCCAAGCCAATGATCTCATGTTCTTCCTTTTTGTTTGGTATTGACCATCAGTGCCTCTTGAAGCTATGAACTAGCTGGTCAATACTGATTTATTGATCATCCACCTCTAGACAAGTTAGCCTGTGATCAGAGCAGATGTTAGAAAAGAGACGCCAGGGCCATCTGGTTTTACTACATCATGAGCAAATAAATTCCTGCTGTGAAAGTATCTATATCGACCTGCTCCTCTGATGTAACCTTCTCCCATTTCATGACTTCTATATTGCTGTTAAAATAACTAGAAACCCAGCCTCCTCTTGCAATCACTGTTTTTACCCCCCTTTTTTTTTTTGAGCACTTACCCAGAAAGCACTGAGTTTTACTGGCAATGAGGCCAGCAGCCTTCCTAAACTGAGAATTGTTGTCTACCAGCAAGAATTTAATTTCTCCCTCCACTTACTTCCTGATAACTATTCTCCTCAATGTGCTGAAACACACAGTACATGTAAGAGCTCCATGCACACACACAAAATAAAGAGAAATACTAGTTGGATTTGGCAGTAGCAAGTAATAGAAAATCCACTTTAAACTAGCTTAAGCAAAAAATGGAATTCATTGACTCACCTGTCTATAAAGTCCAGACATACTCAGGCCCAGTCTGACTCAGTTGCTCATTTGATATCATCTGGACTCTGACTTTCTTTATCACTCATTCTCTTCTTCACTTGTAGAGAGGAGACTGAGGCAGGCACACAAGGAAAGGTATAGGAGGGCATTTGTCTTCAACACCAGGAATGGGAAAGGAGAGAGAGATTTATCTTTTAAAAGGTATTTATAGGGAAAGAGCCCAAGAAAGTGCCCAGTACTCTTTAAAAAAGGTGGCTCACATGTTATTTTTTTATGAAGCATGAGGCTGTAGAAAAGACCAAGCACAATCACTTTTTAAATAAGAACAATAACCATGTGTTTGTTTAGAAAGGCTTTAATGCCTCTTACTTTAAACTTGTAACAATGCCATAAGGTGGTAGAGAGAGCAGATCTTATTATCTCCAGTTTGTAGATGAGAAAATGAAGATTTACATGGCTGGTCACAGGTTGAGGCTTATGGGGTCTTCTGACTCTAAGTGCTGGTGGTTTTCTGCTCTGTAAGCTCATGGCGTGAAAGGAAGGGAGGGCCTAAAGAAACACTCACCTTTCTTTCCAGTCTTGCCTGCTGCATTCAGAAAAACAAAGAGCAGGTCCAAGAGAACTCTAACCCCTCTGACTACAAATGATTAGGCCAAAAGATCTGGAAGGGGTGGACAGTGAGGGAAAGAAAAGAACTGAATTTGCAGAAACTACACACCCTACCAGAAAAACTCTTTGAAAATGGAATTTGAAAGATCTCCCAGATTAGGTTTAGATGCTTCTCTTTGTCACTAGGATTTCATTCCCTGAATGGACTTGGAAAACAGGATGGAAGTTCCCTAGATCCCTCTCCCAGGCCTGGCATATTTTTCACTAAAAATGGCTAAATTGTGGCTTTGTTTGTAAGGAGAAATCCTTTGGTTTTAATCTGTGGTATTGTGGCATTTTCTTTTCTAATACAATCTGCCCATATTTCTACTAGTCATACCATCTCAGGACGCTGATGTCTATGTAGCTCAGTGTGTTTAAAGTTTGTGCAAGCTGTTGGAAAGCAAAGGGAAACTTTGAGCTTGTGAGATTATGTGAAAGCATTCAGTAAGCACTTGAGTTATTTCCTTTAGGTGGTGTTTACTTAGCAAGGAAGATGGGATACAGAACAATGTGTTTTAAACATCTTTAGCAAGATAATTGTGGTGAAAAGAAAAATAATAAAGAGCCACACTAAATAGAACTTAGAAAAGTAAAAACACCAATAAATTAGCTTTCATGTTTACATATTAGCTTCTTATGGAATTAATTCCATAGAAATTTCTGGGAAAATAATCATTTCAAGCTCAAGTGAATCTAAGTTTATCTGAGTATTTTAGCTAAACCATTAATTAACCTATGTGGTATTAGTGTCAGAACTGTTCACTTCATCTGTGTTTACCAAATTTAGGATCGTAGAGTTATAGCTTCCTCCCATCCCAAAGACTAGAATTAGATGAATGAATGAGAAGAAAGAGCATTAGAAATGCCTAGGTTTTCAGAGATCCCTGGTAATGAATGTCATGTTTCTCCAAATGCTAACTTTCCAGATAATATTCCTGAATACTCGTCTGACATGAATCAGCAGCTGTTTCGTGTGATCCAGCTACAACCTGGACAGCCAGAATATGACACTGTGAAGAATAGATTCTCTCAGACTTGTTTTTCCTACAGAATAGAGAAGGTAATATTGTATTTTAAAAATGATTTCTCTTAAATATTGAAGAACTAACATGAAAGCTATCTTTTTATATAAGATTCTTTTTAAATATCCTATATTTTAACTAGAGGCCTGAAATTGTATGAAATTCATGCATGTGTGTGTGGGGTTCCTCAGCCTGCCTTTACCGTCTCCAATCCAGGACCCCTTTAGGCATCAGGCCTACACCGGCAGTCGGACATGCCTCTAGCAATCTGGGACCACTGGCTCCTAACCACTCACCTGCCTGCCTACCTGATCACCCCTACCCACTCTGCCTGCCTGTGGGATTGCCCCTAACCACTCTGCCTGCCTGCCTGATTGCCCCTAACCATTCTGCCTGCCTGCCTGATCACCCCTAACCACGTCTGCCTGCCTGCCTGATTGCTCCCAACTGCTCTATTCTGCTGGCCTTACTGCTCCAACTGCTCTCTCCTGCTGGCCTGATCACCTCCTAACTGCTCCCCTGCTTGCCTGATCGCCCTTAACCGCTTCTGCCTTGTTCCCCACCACCATGGCTTTGTCCAGAAGATGTCCGGTTTAATTAGCATATTACCCTTTTATTAGTATAGATTGGACTCACTCAAGTTCCATAAACTTCAAATCTCATGATTCATGCATTAACAATAACGAAGGAGACCCCCAAAAGTTATATGTATATGTTGGGATACTTTCTCTTACAATTAAAAAAACACACTGAAACTGGTTAAAAAAAAGAAATGTATTGGAACTTAATGGAAAGTCCAGAAGTAGGACGGCATGTGGAGCAGTTTGATCCAGTGGTTCGATGATGACTTGGATCCAGTTTCTCTGGATTTGTGGTTCACAGTGTCAGCCTCGTTTGAAGGCAGGATTCCCTTCATGATTATAGGACGGCTGCTGGTGTCAACCAGAGAGTCTCAGCTTCTCCCATTCGCATACTTCAGATGAGACACTGTGTCCTGTCACACAATTAATAGATAAGAATACCAGGCTTTGTGTTGAGTGGGACGCTCAAACCAGTATGGGTTGGGGAAGTTACCATATACTGATTGCCTTGGACCTGGGCTATTGGAACCCATCATGAGATTTATTTAACCCAATTGGGTTTCATTTTAGAACTATAAGGAGGGTCAACTCCACCCAAATCAGAAGTTTCTCCACAATGGGGATGAAGTGGAATGGATGACCAGAGATTCTACAATGTCCATTCATTATGCTGCATAAAAATATTAGCCAGTAAAGTGTAGGAGTTTATTAGAAGGTCCTTATCAGACCATAGGTATCAGAGCAGGGTGCAACAGCCCAGTAACTTAAAATCTAGCTGGTTCTTCCATAAAATTGTATACTTAACTACCTTACAGCAATTATGAAATTGTGCTTTGGTAACTTTGCACATGCCTGATTCCCCTGTTTGGCTGCGGACTTTGTACGGTAAGAATCACCTCCTATTCATCTTTGCATTCCCAGTATTTAGTATATTGTGGGACATAATACCTATCGAAGGAATGAGTAAAAATTCCTGAGAAAGAAGGAGAATCAGAAAGAGAGATTGTAGAAGGGACAGATTTAAAGGAGGAGATGCTTCATTATGTTTAAAGCTGTTGGGAGTACTAGAACCTCGCTTTAATTTGTTTACCCAATTTCTGCAACATTATTGGCTCTTACACTTCTATTATACCCATTTTAAAAAACATTAACTTTGAATTAATTCCATAACTTACCTTCTGTCCTGCTAAATAAATTCATTACTAATTCATTGTCTCCAACCTTAGCTGAACCTTCAGGTGCCTGGAATCCCCCCTTGCTTTCTCCAGTCAACCCCCTCATCCATTTCCTATTCCAAACCTTCATCATGAGGCTTCCATCACACTCAGCAGAATAACTTTCCCTCCTGCTTTTATCACTTGGTTTCCTCTCAATATCTGCTTACAGTTGTGCACTCCCTTCTTCTTCAACCCTTCTTCTGCCTTTCTTTCCAGAACACCATTTGCTCAGATTTCCTACTCTCCCCCGAGATGTAGATTATCTGGATTTTTTTTCTGATGCTTTCATACTCCGTGTATGTTCTCCTAATCCATCCTTTATCATAGCGAGGGGTAGTGGTTTGTTTGCTTGTCTTTCTCTCCCTCTAGACTGAAAGTATTTTGAAGGTAGAGACCCAACACAGTGCTTCATTCACATTAGATGTTCAATAGATGATTAGTGAATTAAATTCATTCTCTAGAAGGAATGAGAGCCAATAGAGAATGATTTTCTGGAAAAAAAATAAATTGAAGGACAAAGTTCCAAAGAGAGTGTGGTTCATGGTTTGAAATGCTGTTGATATCTCTGGAAAGAAATAGTCATTAAAATAGGCAGTTATGAGGTGATTTGTGACCATAATTGGAGCAATGCAGGAAGAATTATGATTGGGAGATCTGAAGGAATTATGGAAATAATTATTAAATGATTACAAATTTTTGAGTAGGCATTTGAATGTCAATAAATTTCTAGGGATTTCAGGTAAACATTTTAATATAAATTTAAGTTCTTTTATGTAAAAGTATTCAATAGATAACAATAATAAGCAGTATTAAAACATACAGATGCGTTTAGCCTACCCTTTTTCTGAAGGCAAAAAGCTACTGTTAAACAAAACTTTAAACTTCCACCGCTGCAAGTCTTTTGGAAAAAAAAAAAAAAAAAAGGGTTGTTTGAGTCATTGCTACCAAGAAAAATGACCAGGTCCTGAGGCCTGAAGTCTATACTCCTGCAGCAGTGCCAAGTGGAAAAGATTGCATGCCTGCCTTCCTGGAGTCAGCAAGCATTTTGCATCAAGTAGGGCAAAGAAGAGTACTAGTTTGAAAGAATTTACATTGGCTGGGGTAGAGAAAGAGTGTGGGGAAAGATGAAGCAGGGCTAGTTCTGGGATAGGCACAGAGTTGGTCAGGCAGAAGTGTTTGCTCATTCAGACTCCTGGTGGGCAACTATCTGGAAAATTAATGTGTAAACAAGAAGCTGAGGAGGCTCCTGGGGTTTGATGGTGCCTGGCTATTCTCTCATTTAGATAATCTTAGCAACAACTGCCTAGAAGTTGGTTCACCGCCCAACATATACTCAGGAATGAGAGCAATCTTGTTAGCTGTTTGGTCTTCCACTCTCCAACCCACTGTAGTTCAGTGTAGAACATCTCAGAATTTTTCTTTTGTCATTACCCACTCTGAATTTGCTGGTTTTTGCATTTTCCTTCTCCTCCTTCTCTCTATTGCTTAAAGACCACAGCAGACACTGTACTGAGCTTTATGGTCATATCCAGATGTTTTGCTCTTTGTCATTTGTAGATTGAGAGGATACAGAATGAATTTCTCTGGCAGAGCTACCAGGTAAAGAAAAATCACATGGACATCAAGAATGGCCATATAGATAATGAGAAAATCCTCTTCCACGGGACAGATGCACACTCAGTGCCACATGTCAATCAGCACGGCTTCAATCGCAGTTATGCTGGGAAGAATGGTAAGGAAGCAAGTAATCTGACTGATCAGAATGAGGTGAATGGATGTTCTAGTGTTGACTATTCATACCCAAGCATTGTAGCCATAGATGGCAGCCATACTGTTATTGTCAGGATAGAGCTCATTCTGTTTCACCCAAAAGGAAACTGGCAAACTTTCCAGGACAGATGAAGGGAATTTTAGAAATGTGGCTGTGGTGACCAATAACTGCATTCAAATTTTATTTACTTTTTAGGTTTGGGCATGGTTCTGCATACTGTGATAATTTTATGTTCTTATGAAGGCTTTTGTCTTTCTCTCTGCAGCTGTAGCCTATGGAAAAGGAACTTATTTTGCTGTTGATGCCAGTTATTCTGCTAATGATAGATACGCCAGACCAGATAGCACTGGGAGGAAACATATTTATGTTGTACGAGTACTTACAGGAGTCTATACACTTGGACGTGAAGGAATAATTACGCCTCCACCAAAGAACCCTTACAATTCTACAGATCTCTTTGACTCTGTCACAGATGATATACACCATCCAAAGTTATTTGTGGTATTCTTTGATAATCAAGCTTACCCTGAATATCTCATAACTTTCAGATGTTAAAACATAGGATTAAAAAAACAACAACACATACACACAAGAAAACCGCAGAGGTGATTTGGTCATCTATTTATGAGAACAATTTATAGAATTTTTGTCTTTGCCTATGGTTTGTTTAAACATATTTTAAAAATCTCTATGCTAGGTGCTATAATGCTAAAAAAATAAAAAAAATAAAAAAGGAGAGGGGGGCCCTTTTAAATGCATATTGCACTTTCTAGCATATCTTTCTTCTGAGCATATTGATGGGTAGAAGCTGAAAAATATAAATGACACAATTATAGCTACAACTACAGACACCAAAACTATAGGAAACAAAGAGAACATTTCTTTTTCTTCTATTGGAAAAGAATTAAGATGAATCATCCTAAAGCCAAGTTGTCATTGTTCTTATTAGACTATGTTAAAACACCAAACTGTGTTGAGCTAAACCATACTATTAAATGAATAGGCTGCTATTGTGCATCTGTAACAGTTGTGCCTCCTTAAGAAACTTATTAGCAAAAGAGTGACCGAATCAAAGAATATTATGTCAAATTTGTTGTGAAACAAATCAGGTAAAAATGCATTGTATTGCTATCTAATGCTACATAACAAATTATTACCAAACTTAGTGTCCCTGTGGGTAAAGAATTCAGGCATGGCTTAACTGAGTTGTTCTAACTTAAGGTTTGTCATGAAGTTGCAGTGAAGATGAAGGCAGGGGATGCAGTCATTTGAAGGATTTGCTGGGGCTGGATGATCTGCTTCCAAGGGGAATCACTCTAATAGCTGGCAAGTGTTTTGCTGGTTGTTGGCAGGAGTCCTCATTTCCTCTCCACCTTGGCCTCTCTGCAGGCTGCTTTAGTGTCCTCATGACATGGCAGCTGACTTATTCCACAACTCAGGAAAGAGAAGGCAGAAGCCACAATATCTTTTATGGTCTAGCCTCTGAAATCATACTCCATCCTTCCTATAATATCCTACAATTCCATGAATCAGGTTCTTCAATGTGGGAGATTTTAAACAAGGCATGGCCATCAGTAGGCAAGGATCATTGGGGACCATCTTGGCAGTCATATGAATACGTGAATGAATGACAAGTTGATAAAATGTTAGCAGTGAAAAGGGCACTAGCGATCATCTAGTCCCACTGTCTCCTCGTCTTTCTCCCTTCACCATCTCCTAGGGCAAAAAGCCCTCTGGCTCTTCTTGACCACTTCTAGCGCACAGCATCTTGAGAGAACCTACTAGTATTCCATTTCAGGACAGCTCTAAGTATCGAAAAACTCTTGCTTATACTGAGTTGAAATCTATTCTTCAAAGTCTATTACCTGCTGATCACTGTCCTACCTACACTGACACAGAACATATTTCATTTCTTTTATAGATGGTGGCGCTTTAGATTCAAATTCTTAAAATATTTAGTAGTGGATTTATCCTGAAACATTGCTTTTTAAGAGTTGCTGACATTTAAGAAGTATTTATGTTATCATAAATAAAGCACATGCACATTAAGGAGTAAAGAAATGCATTAAAAAAATTCAAACTCCATCACCCATAATTCCAATACTTTAAGGAAACCACTGCCAATATTCTTATGTACTCCCTTCTAGTTTCTTTATCCAGCTACAAGAAAGTAAAAATTGCACTTTATTCAATTAAAATAACTTTATTCAATTACCAATTATAAAATACTGTATCTACATTTTTCATTTAACATTCCAAATATTTGTCTCATGCTATTAATTTTTCTGTAAACAATCTAAATGGTTGAGTTCTGTACTATATGTGTATCATTTTCCCATTACGTGTCATTAAATCCATTATATGTCACTTCAGTTGTATTTTAATATATGTTTTTACATATATGACATGTCAAAATGTGGTGGTTACATCTCTAGATAAATATATGATTGGAATATGAGTTGCAAAATAATAAAATCTACCTTCATTAACATTGCTCCCTAGATTTCTTGAAGGAAATATAGTCCCAGAGAACAAAACCATGTTAAATAATGCTCTGTTAACTACCTAAGCAAAACACTTGCCAGCTATTAGAGTTGGTAGACCTGGACTTAGTCCTGACCCAAGAACTAATGCATTGCTTGTATAAACTTGGACACGTCATTTAAACTCTCAGAGCCTCAGTTCTTCATTTTAAAAAGTAAGATAATGATTCCTGCCTTCCTAGTTTCCAGCGTTAAGTAAGATAACAGCAAAATTATATTGAGAAAAACTTTTGCCTTCTTGCTACAGAGAGAGCAAGACGGATCACCAATAACTCTCCCAATCCCAGTGTAGAATTCTAATAAGTCAGGTTGGAGCATGGAACAGCTCCTTTTCCTTAGGTAAGGTAGACTCTTACGATGTAAACTGCTGTCTCCTGTCTCCTCTGGTACTGTTATTCAAGGACTCCCCAATTTATTTTGCTGTATTCCTACTTCAGCAGTAAAACACAGAAGTCTTGAATATAAAAATAAAAATATCCTTGGGTGAGGGTTAACAGCAACAACATGATATTGATTTTTAGAGAGAGAGTAGAAGGGAGAGTAGGGGAAGGAGAGTGAAAGAGAAACATTGATGTGCCTCCTGCACAGTCCCAACTGTAGCCAGGGATTGAATTTGCAACCCTTTGATGCTCAGGCCGACACTCTAACCATTGAGCAACACCAGCCAAGTCTATACCCCCGGATTTTTATGGAGGCTTCATCACATAGGCAGGATCAATAATTAAGTCACTTCCAATCCCTCTTTTCTTTCTGGAGAATAGAGTATGGGGCTGAAAGTTATATATTAAAAAAAGTAATAGTTAACCTCCATCAGATTGGAATCTGGAGGGCCTGTAGGGGGAACTCTTATTCCTATGTTAGTCAAAAAACTAAATAAGAACTCTGGTTATCACAACAGCCTTCTTTTACCATCCATATAAGAACTTCCTTTTTATTTGTGGTGATGAGATTGCCATGTCTGCATGTTCTGGGTTGCAGTTCTCTCTTTTTCCTAGAGGAATATCTAGTTTCTAACTGTGACTTGGTCTCCTTGATGACCAACCCCCACCCAGAAGTTCATTAAGAGTTACCTCATTAGAACAAAATACATTACCACACCCAGGAAATTCCAAGTTATTTAAGAACTCTTGTGTCAGGCACTGAGGTCAAATTTTAAAACAAAAATTGCTCCTAATGTTGTTATCGCTTGGGAAATTACAAGGTTTTAGGAACTGTGTGCCAGGAACAAGGAGCAGAGACCAATATATACAAGATGCCCCCCAAAATTTACTTAAGAGCTGATAGCACAATTGATGTTTCTTTCTTTTCAGATTTAACCCATTGGAATTAGTAATTATTCAAAGTGTGTATATAGTGGGGTTTTTTGTGTGTTTTTTTTGATACCCTGTATTTTCCATTATCTCAGATGAATCTTGGTTTTCACCACAACTATTAGTAAACATATAAAGGGAATCTTGTAATTAGAGTGAATAACAATGTTGAAAGATGTTGCTTCATTTCCCTCATTGTTTATATTATTTTTGTAACCACCAGAATGTAAATATTCTCCTACTTTATTTTCCTGATCTTGTTAAGAAAGGCATTTTAAATACAGTAATTTATTTCTCTGAAGCCCTTTATTACCTAACTGTTGTCCTTATTACCTAAAATTACAATTCTATAGCTAAGGCTCATCAAATAAATAACGTTTACTTTTGAGAGGAGTTAGCTTGACATGCAGGCAGATAGGGCAGGGGTCCAGTAGAAAACAAAGGCAGGTGGAAAGTCGGCAGGGACAGACACGGCAATGAGCAAGCCTAACCTCAGACACCAACCATGCAGAAATATCAATGTGTAGACTCAGAGTGGGAGGTATGTGAAACCAGGGAAGGGCTGCAACAACAAGGTGAGTTCAAGCATAAGAAGAGGGGAAGTCCAGGTTTGTTGCTGGGCAAGAACAATTGAGGGAATCAATCAGGTGGCCCCATGGGTAGATATAGGGTAGGCTTGTAACAATATATATAATCCCCTACCACATGTGTCAAACACAAGGCCCGCGGGCCAAATCCGTCCCGCCAGGCTTTGCAATGTGGCCCACACCGCGCTGTCATCACTGCACTCCGCTGTGTTTCCATCACAATGACAGTTTATGACTGTTCAGTAAACCATTTGGCCCGCGATTTAGGCTGGATTTTAGATTTTGGCCCCTTCTCTGATTGAGTTCGACACTTGAAGGCTTCAGTGACAACCCATTATTGGACCCCCTTCACGAGCAGAGAGTCTGAATCTACTTGCAATAAATTTTCCATGCTTTTGCTTAAATCTTCTGGTCTTTGATTTCATTCTTCAGCTTCGTTAGACACAATCCTGGGGAAAAACTTCAGCTCACCATTCAGGTATCACTTTCACAAAATCTCATTTCCTTGGGTTCATCTTTCTATCATGCTCTCTTATTGCGGTATACAAAGACCCAAAGGACTACTATTATACAGGGAAGGGCTTGAGGTTCACGAAACCACATAAACAAATAATAACTATAAGTTATTTTCTTTGATTGTTCTTTGCTTGCCAGGCAATCCAGGGATTTGGGATCATAACTATTTTTCTATCAATAATCAATATAAGACCAACATATTAATAAGGAAAAGGTGGGTGTGCAAATCAGAATGAAAGACAATAAAAATTTAAGATGTAAAAACAATAAAAAATGTGAAATAAAAACAAAAAATAAATAAAATTAGTTTTAGAATGTTGAAAGGTGGCATCACTTAGTATTTTCCTAGAGTTGGTAGACCTGGACTTAGTCCTGACCCAAGAACTAATGCATTGCTTGTATAAACTTGGACACGTCATTTAAACTCTCAGAGCCTCAGTTCTTCATTTTAAAAAGTAAGATAATGATTCCTGCCTTCCTAGTTTCCAGGGTTAAGTAAGATAACACCAAAATTATATTGAGAAAAACGTTTGCCTTCTTGCTACAGAGAGAGCAAGATGGATCACCAATAACTCTCCTGGAGCCATCCAAGGAAATTCGGCCAGGGTCCTCATTCTTGCTGCGTCTGCTAAAACTGCCATGGTCTGATCCGGAAATATGGCCTCAGCATGGGTAGCCAGTGTTTCTGTCAGTACTCGAGGACATAGGCATCATTAAGCTG